GAACTTAAAGTTTACATATTTAGATATTTGAATAGACTTTCGTTCACATTGATAAAATTCAAATCATAACGGATTGTGGATCCGAAAAAAAAGGTTAATACACTACCATCTATAATTATTGGAAAGGTCATATTTTTTAATATCAAAGATATCAAAGTTTGGCGAAAAAGTGAAAACAATGTCTACCTGAATTATATGTTATCTTCCTATTTATTAGGTTTACCAATAAAACTTCCCTGATTAGTTTATAATTTATTCAAAGCCCTGATTAGCTTTTAATTTATTTGCCTATTAATCACTCTTAACAACAATAACCGCCATAAATATATTCTTAGCATTCTACTTAACGACTTATCTAATTAGTCTATTTTGTCACTAAGTATAAAAAAAAAAAAAATACCCATGTATTAACTGAATATCAATTTATTTATCTATTTAATTTAACATATATAATATATAATTTAATATATATAATTTAATCTAATTAATATAATTGAAATACTACTAATCAATTTACTGATATTTTTTCTATAGCATTGTTAAAAATGGTCATATTCTGAAAGGTAAAGAAATTTATTGAAAAGTAAGTTGCACAAAAGAAAAAAAAAACTAAATAAAAGTTATTCGTTTCTAAAAACTTTTTACGAAGAGTTTTTCCAAACAATTTTATTTTTAATTGGGTTTTTTTTTGAATTACATTAAGGCGTTTTGAAAAACAGTTGCTGCATCTATTTATAGTAAAAAAGTTAATGTAGCAAAATAAACTTTTAATTGTGAAAAGAAAGTTTTAATGTTTTATCTAGCTACAGGCTTTTTTTTTTTTTTTGCCTCCACAGCAGCAACTTATGAAGTAGCAGGGCTGTCTTGTTAAGTTTTTTCTTTATTAAGTTTCAGACAACTTTTTTTTCAGACCATCCGCAGCTTATTAGGACTAATTACATTCGCACATTAATAACATAAGTGTCTCAATTATCATAGATACGCAACATATTTTTTCTCCTGGTGATGTTTTTTTTTTTTTAATGTTTTATGAAGTTTTAGCATTCTTAAAATCTTTTCTTTTGTGAGTGCATAATATCGTTACGTTACATATGTTTGTATATAATCTTTATAAAACTTCGAAAGTATTTTGTATTTTAAAATAATTAAAAAAATTAAAAAAAATAGCCGCCTTTGGTAGGAGTCGAACCTCTAGTTCCTTGTTCAGAACTTCGCCGCCTTATCCACTCGAGCTACACCGGCGTATCATCATGAGTAGATTTTATAATTATCTAGTAATTTTTTTGAGGAAAAAAATGTTAGATTAAAATTAAGGAGAGGTTGACGCAATGTAATTTTCAAGTAAAAATCAAACTGTAAAACGTGATAAATGTTTCAGTATGTTTTAACATATGCTTTAACATTACATAAGTTAAAGTTTACGTACGTTAGATGTTCGTTCACGTTTTCTTATAGCGCTGCGACTCTTTCTTGCCAATACATCGGTTGCAATGGCTGCCAAGGGTTTCGTGTCAAATACGCTCCAAGGGACACTACTACTACTATTAAAGCTATTAAGTTCGGCAATATTATATAGAAGATTATAGATTGTTATATTATAACAATCTAGTGTTTGATCAATTTAGAAGTTTCATGAAGTTTCATGAAACGTGAAATTTAAAAAACGAGATTGTTATAATATAACAATCAAGTGTTTGATCTGAAGAAGACCTAACGGTCTTGTCACAGAGCACCACGGAAGTGCATTTAACTAGGAAGTTCACGTCTCCTTACTTACTGTGACGCAAAAATATGTCCGAAGCTCGTTTCAAACCTCGATCTTCTGCTTATAAAGCAAGCACTCTAACCATTACGCCAGGGCCGCATAAATTTAATTAGTTAAAATTGACGACGCAAAACAAATGTCAGCATTTAATGCAGTCTCCTTTATATGTATCTCTATCCATAAGTAACTTAAGGATAAAGATTCTTATGTATGTATTATGCTTTATTTTAATCTTTCTAAAAATAAAGCATAATTTTTTTTTTTTTAAATAAAGCATAAGCTTATTTTTTACATCAAATAATTTTAATGATTTTAAAATGATATTGAAGACCTGAGAGTATTTTTAAGCTGGAGAAAAAATCTCACAAAGGTTATTATGAAGCATTAATTTATAGGTTAATTAAAGATGTCTTTTTTAAGCTTTATTGTCGTCTTTTTTATATATTAGAATGTTTCTTATATATAAAAAATATAGCAATAAAGCAGATAAATTAAAAAAAAAAATTGTTAACCTATACAAGAATACTTTGTAACCACCATCATAAAATTTTTCCAAAGCTTAAAAATACTCTCATGAGTTAAACAGATATAATTTTAAAACCTTGTAAAGATTTAAAAAAGTCTTATCTTCAATCAGGGCCGTCCTGAGGAGGGGGGCGTAGAATTTTTTCGGTCGGCAAATCGGAACTGGAGTCGGCAAAATTGGATCTATAGTTGACAGTCCGCAAATATCGGAAAACGAGGATCTTTTTTTTTTTAAAAAATAATCGCTTTTTTTTTATTTAACAGGCCAATTGAATTGAGTCTATTTCAATGATATATTATATAACTAGATGTCTAACTTGCGGGATTTTATTGGACACAAAGTGAAGCCGATTTTATTTGTTTATAACAATAGTCCGCCATTTTTAAAAAGGGCAAATGCTGAAGCCGAAGTGTAGAATAAAAGTTACAAATGCACGTCAAAAGTTTTCAATAAATTAATGATAATTCAAAAACACCTTTTAACAATTATAAAATACTTTTAAAAGTTTTTTTATGAGCCTATGTTTATTAGAAAGTATTTTAATTCATAAAAATGCTTCAAAATAGCAATACATTTTACTTTTCTATTCAAAACTTTAATCCATTTTTGATCGAAAATAAATTAAGGAATCATAAATTATTATTTTACAAGTATTATAATTTACGCTCAACACTTTTACGTAAATAGTATTTAAATTTAAAATATATTTACTTCATTTAAGAAAAGAAAAGTTAAAAATATTTGTTTACCAATTTAATCAGCCATTTGTAAAAAGGGCTTCACTTTTCGTAATGAAGTTAGACATCTAGTTATATAATATCATTGGTCTATTTGGTTTGTTTACCTCCGCTACGTATGTAATTAGAAGACCCCGAAAGAAAAACATCAACAAATTATAATTGCTGTTCCCTTTCTTATTTAACTATGAAAATTAACTTTGTTTTTTATAAGGGTAAAAATTTCTCAAAAAACACAAAAAAACATAATTCTGCACTATATATCACCAAAATTTTTGAAACTTGGCACAAATGTTTATAGACATATGTTAGGAAAGATTGTAATTTTTTTTCATAAAATTCCTTACCGTTTATAATTTACAACTTGAAGTCTCCTTGATTTTGACTGAAAAATGAGGGGGGGAAAGTGCCCGTTTACTTTCACCTTAACATAGTGCTTGTAGTGATGCCACAATTCTGAAACTTTTTACCAAAAAAGTTTAAAACCTGTTAAATCCGAAAAATATATATATATTTTTTTTATGTCAAAACAATGCAATGTAGCTTATTTTAAGATCCATAAAATACACTTTATAACGCCGAGAAAAAGGGCATTGACAATTATAGCTATAAAAAAAATCTGACTGATATAAAAAAATTTAATTTATATTTTCTTAAAAATAAGATGAACACCTACTTTTGAACCAACTTTGTTTTGGCCTTATGTTTATTTGAGGAATTATTGATGTTTGATATAGACACAAAATTTTTTGATATTTTTTAAATCAGACACCTAATATATTCTTACCTTTTACCAATCAATCAAATTAGAAATTAACAATTTAGTGACTTTATTACTTTTTTTCATTTTCATATGTTATTTACAACAAAGTTTAAACGTATATATACTTTTTAAATACTCAACTTTAATAATTTCATATATGCTTTACGTTTACATTATTTACAAGTTGTTCACAAAACATAAGATTCAAAAAAAAGAATGGATAAGACATAATAGACTCATAAATATAAAAATCTCTACTTCCTTAGGAAAATAATTTTTTTTAAATCCTCTTTGGCTAAATAGTAGTAAAGTCCTGTTTTTGTTATCGGTACCTCAACTTTGCAAATAATGTGGACATCTGGAATCCAGCATTGGCTTTTCTTTGGTGGTCATTTAAACGACCGTGCAGGACCATTTGGACACATAAATTTTACAAGCACGATTTTCTCTTCTAAATTAATATCTTCAATGACTAATATCCACCACTTTTGCTCATAGGAAACACAGGCATAACCACCTGGTACTAAGTTTATAGTTGTTATCTGGATATTTCTAAAGTCATGAATTAAAGCAAATTCTTCATCAACACTGCATAGCTTAGTGCCTACCTAAACAAATTAGTAACATATGCAATTATTCCGTTTTACTTATCAAACATGTTTTATGTAATGCATAGATACCTAATGCTGAGGAAATTGTGAGTCTAAAATAAAATACAAATATTTTTGATTCTGCAAAAATCTTATATCTATTTGAGTTTATTAATAAAAGTTATGCGTATATTTTAAAATATGGTAAAAGATATATTTAAAAAATAATAATTTACCTTTTGATGGTCAAGCGGTACAAACTGATGGTAACTACGTGTTCCAGGTATTGTATTAGCAGTATCTAATCGTTCTTTAAGAGCGGTTCTCACCAAAGTTAAATCTTCTGATGAAATATATATGAAATTTATGCCTTCAATGTTTTCATTGCAATATTTATACATTGTTTGTGGAGATAAAATATGATTACCCGTATCTCTTTGCAAACTTGCTAGTGTTGCCAGACATTTGACTGTACCACATATCCCATCACAAGGTTGCTTACCGTGACTAGTTGCAAAAAAGTTCCATTTAGCAGTAAAACCAAAATCTTCACAATGGAAACAAAAATTTAAAATATTTTTGCAATTCTTATATTGACCTGCACACCCATCTGAAAAGTATTCAATATTTTTTATTTGAGGCAAATTTGTTTTTATATCATTGCAAACAACCTCAACAATTTTAAAAACCATGTTCACATCATGGATTATATCATCCGAATTAATACAATAGGATTTGTGCTTGAGAATGCCTTTTTTTGGAAATAAATAATCACTGGATGAAGTGTACATTGTAAATTTGTCCAATGAAAGCTTTGCACTTCATCCTGAACTACAAATTTATAGTTTTCTGAAAAATCACCCAGAAATAATGCTGTTACCTCATTCATAACATCCTTTCTTGATCTCAGGTATAATGCTTGACTCTTTGCTAAATACGAATGTGGTGCAAGTTTTTCCAGTTTTCTACATACTAGTTCACTCAAACACTGGCTCATTATTATGTGTCAATTTGGACCTATCTGTTGTTGACCATTGATCAAATTCAATCTCATCATCCTCTTCAAATTCTCCAAGTAAATCATAAAGTTTTTCAACCAATGCATTCATAGTTGCTGGGCATTTTTCACATATCCTCATCATACAGTCTTTATTAGTTATATCACAGACAATATAAGGTAACAATTCTTTGCATGTCACAACAAGAGGATGTAAAAGCAGTTTCAAATTCTGATGAATAGCACAGACGCATACAGAATGTGTTCCTGAGGCACTAACAGTAATATACCATTTAGGTCGCAAGGTGCAAAACCTTGAAAATCCTATTTTTATTTTTGGGTTTTTGGTTTTAAAGGCAACAAACGATTCTTTTAAATTACATAAGAGCAAACGTTTTTGCATCTGAACATTTTTCTTTATGCTTACATAGTCCTTTTTACCAGGCATTATACGGCTATGTTCATTGTCTTCGTAAAAGGTCTTGACCAGTTGAACTGTTACATCAGGAAGAGCTTTTCCTAAATTAGGAATTGGCATGGTTAAATTACCTTTTTCTAATGTTAACTTACGTGCAGTTCGAGCTACATAGTTTGTTACATGCAATGTTTCAGATACCTTTTTTATTGACCTGTCTCTTGGAGCAAGTGTCGCAAATTGCACTTTTTATGATGTTGATGTAGACTCTGCAATTTTGTTAGTTAACAAAACCATCATCTTATCAAAAAAGTTTGCCTATTCCATATACTCATTATTAAAACTTGACTGTTCTTCAAAACTTTCATCTGATATATTAAGAGAAATGGCAACCTTTTTTTTTAATAGAGGTTGTTAATGCTGTCAATTTTCGTTTAGCTTCTCTGATTTTACCTGACTTGTGCAATCCTTTAACCCTAACTGGAGATACTCCGGCAGATGCAAAGTGTGTGTCTATACTTTTTTTTTTATTTTTAATGGATCTTTTATTAACAATATCAAAATCTTCATCATTTTTATTTTCACTTATACTTTTCGATAAGCGTGTCATAACTTTACTTCGACAGGTTGGTTTTTTTTCCAGGTATAAGATTTAAAACTATGGTTTCTGCTTCTAACACAGTATGCGTTGTAATCACACGTAGAGATGCTTAAAAAAAAAGTAATTACATTACTTAAATAAAATTAATTATATACATTATGTAATTATATAACTATAAAATTAGTTATATTAACAACTATGAAACATTGAACAAATCCTATTACCAAAAAAACTTATACAACTTATCAATAATGATATTACCTAATAAAATATGAAAATGTTTACCTCTACACACCTTTTGGTGACTCAGAAATGAATTACAGCAATTTTTCTGATTACCCTCATATCTTACAACTAATATATCATGATGGTGTGTGTATATATTTGTAATTTGTTCTTGTTTCAAATTTGTTCGTTTTTCAAGTAGCTTACGATCATTGCTGTCAATATCTTCAATCAGATTTCTTACTTGAGTATATGATTGTTTATAACAAGCTCCATAATTATTTACAAAGCAGCAATTAATTTTGTTATCCATATAAAAATATAACGAGGAATCTCTGTTTAAACACTTAATACAAGAAATCTTAAATAATCCTAATGTCCCTAACAAGAAAAGTACACTTAAACACAAACAATATTTAAAAAAAAAAAGAATAAAGTTGTATTTATAAAGAACATATTGCTTGAACAAGTAGCTATTAGTTTAGTAGACATATTTTAAATGCCTAACTATCTACTAATTGTTGTAAATTCTCTATTAACTACTTACAAAAAGATGTGTAAAAGTAAAAGATACCGTCAACTGGGTTTACTTTAATAGATTTTTGTGCTTTTTTTAAAAGTGTTGATATAATTTTAATGAATTGCTGTTGTTTTTGGTTTGAATATACCAAATGATCTAATCTTAACAGGAAAAAATGCTTTTTAGATATATCAGAATTTGTGTTGTATTTGTTTTTACAGCCCAAACAGTTATCAATGTAACCCCGCATGTCGGGGTTACTTTGATAGTAAATGTTATTTCAATCAAATATCAAGTTAAGTCATCACAGGGTTTCATTGATAGTTTTTTAGGATTATAAAAAAGATTTATAGACCTAGTACACCTAATACTATCCAAAAGATTACAAAATTGGTTGAAAAAATGTCAAAAAATATCAAACTATATCAAACTCAAATTTATAAATTATCAAAAGTTTTTGATTTTAGTTGATGACTTGGTGAGACAGGTATGGCAACCAATATTGATCCCTTGTTTTTCTCGGTTCATCTGAAATTCTTCCAACCACAGCAGAATATGGAACAGCTTCATCCATATCATCTTTACTTTCCATAAATTTGAAGAATTTACTCGCCGATTGTTTTTTCAAAAATTTAATATGAAGCAGTTTTATTCTCTCGAACACTTCAACAACCTGACCAATGTCATTGACAACAGATTTCTTCCCGGTGTAGGCTACAACTACCCATTGCTTTGGTTCAAATGGAATGTCAGTTGTTTTATCAGCTGATTCCAAAGAGTCTTCACTGTTATCTTGAAGTTCCATTTCAATTTCAGAATCATTATCTGAATATGTTGAAGACTGAATTTTTTTATTTAATCGTTTTTTTTTTTGACAACCAATTTTGTACCAGTACCACTACACTGTGTTCGTTTTTTTGTTTCTTTGATCACACTGAGATCATTTGATGTTATTTCTTTACCAGAAATTATCTTTTTTCCTCTCTTCTGTGTTTGTTTGTCCGGTTTATTGAATCCACAATGATCTTTTAGCATTTCCTGAACAACCGTGCTAAAGATTTCTTTAACCTTTTCACCACCAACATCTCGTTTCTCATTTGGCAGTCTTTTCAAGACTTCATCTCTGTTTAGTGGAGATATTCCGCAAGCCGAAAAGCTAGAAATCAGGTTTTGTTCTTTTAGTCTTCGGTGCAACTTCAACAATAATAATCCAGGAAAATGTGTCTTTGCTATTGTACCTTTGATGCGACTTTCTTTTCGCTAAAATTCTAGGATTCTCTTTTATTCTTTCTTCGTGGATCTAAAAACTGCGACATCCATTGGTTGAAGTAGATGACTTGCATTTGGTACCTAACAGGTGAAACGAATGTTATTCAGTTAAGCGGCCTCAATGACTGGAAGAGAAAAATGAGAGGCAAGATTGTCACCAATGATAACTTTTGGTCCATGATCTTTACTAACGTTAGAAAGAAATATTTCTAGAAACCAGCGTTCAAAGGTTCTTGAGTCGAACCAGCCTGACTTTGTGTTGTCATAACAAGTTCCTTCTGTGCCACCTCTGGTCCATTTTTGATAAATATTTTGAGACTGATATACTACCATAGGTGGTAGGAATACTCCAATAGCATTTCCACAATATATGATGCTTACACAACTCTTTGAGTGTTGCATTTTGCGTTCGACTCTTTTAAGTGCTTATCTGCATATGATCAAATTTGTGCCAGGGTCATCCGAAAGATTAGTCTCGTCATAGTTATAAATGTTACAGGGTTCAACACTTTCTTATATCTTTGCTAATTCATCGAAGTAACCGTTCACAGTTTGTCCACAAACCTCTGCGCGTGAAGGTTTTACATTGTCAGCAATGCGTGTTGTCAGCTTATGGCGTTTGATAAAACTTAGCATCCAATCGAACCCTGGTAAATTGTTGTTCAACTGTCTATTTTTAACACTGGAGTGATCGAAATAATGTTTGACCATTAAACGAGTATCTAATCCATCAAGAGGCATTTTCCAATCACAAAGAACGTTTATTACCTTCAAAAGGTGGCTCTCGCAATTTAAAGAAAGTGCAACTGGATGTCCAACTTTTTTTCCATGTTTACCTTTCATTCTGTTGTGCAATGTCCCGTATGGAATTTTAAATTTTTCAGATCCTTTTAGCAAACTTATAGTACCCTTCCGGCAACATTAAAAAGCCGCTGACAACTGAGTTTCTAAATGTGAACAATAAGCACGACTCCCGTCCTTCTTCTTGTAGATCCTCATATTATGGATAGGTAAGTATGTACCTATAGGCATATAAAAAAACATGTTTTTATAGTTTTTTATTACTGTTTAGAATACGTTTTTTACACTCTTTTACAAAAAAGTTACAAAAAACTTGGTAAATTTTATTTTATTTTTAACAATTTTACTATGTTTTTTACCTTTTAAATCAATTTGGTGAAATCTTTGTAAACTTTTGATTAGTGTTTATTTATTTTTAACCTGAAAATAGAAAAGATAGTAAAATAGTATTAAAAATATACTACGATAATATACTGAAAAAGTAATTCTAAAAGAATTATCAATGTTACCCCGGGTATCGATGTTACCCCGGGTAATAGATTGGTCTGATAATAATTGTCCTTTTTCAGCAACTGATAATGAATCTCAAACTAATAAATTTATTGAATGTCTTAAAGATTGTTTTCTGTTTCAATGTGTATGTGAGCCAACATTCCAAATAGAAAACTACAAATCAACTAATATTCTAGACCTTATTATCACAAACGATAAAAACAAAATTGTTTCTATAACTCACTCAGCTCCTTTAGGGAATGTCAGGTCATCATTTGTTAAAGTGTTGTTATCTAATGAATGATTTCAAGTTTTCAACCGAACATAAGAAATCCATTAGATTATATCAAAAAGGAAATTATGAACTATTTTCTTGCCATTTCAATAATGTAGATTGGTAAAATGAAATTAAAAGTAAAGTCGGTTTTGATTTTGTTCATCCATATGTTTTAAAAGCATGCAGCTCGTCAATATCATACCCATTATATTTAATTTTCAAAAAATCGATGGAAACAGGTACCCTACCAGATATGTGGAAAAAGGCAAATGTAATGCCACTTTTTAAAAAAGGAAGCAAATTAAAAGCATCTAACTACAGACCAGTCTCGTTAACTTCAATACCATGTAAAGTGTTAGAAAGAATAAAAGCTGATTGTATCATGCAACATCTCATAAAAAATAATTTACTTTCAAAAAAACAACATGGATTTATGAAAAGCAAGAGCTGTACAACAAACCTATTAGAATACCTAGATATTTTAACAGATGCGTTCCACAATAGAACACCGGTAGATGTATTGTAGACAGATTTTAAAAAAGCTTTTGATAGTGTTTCACATAAAAAGTTATTATCCAAGTTATTGACTTTTGGTATTTCTGGTAAACGTCTTACGTGGATAGTCTGTTTTTTAGCTCACAGAAAACAAAGAGTGGTTTTAGGTAAAAGTGTGACAGATTGGGTTGATGTACTTAGTGGTGTACCAGAAGGGTCTGTTCTAGGTACTCTCCTTTTTTTGGTATTTATAAACGATTTACCAGAAAATTTTATTTATGAATGTTGTTTATATGCTGATGATAATAAGATAATTGCACCTATTTCTTCTCAAAATGATTCACAATTGTTTTAAAATGATATAAATAAACTTGACGAATGGTCCACAAAATGGAAATTAGGATTAAATTTTGAAAAATGTAAAATTGTGCACTTTGGTTCAAATAATAACGAATATTCATATTTTATGAACAATAACAATACATTAATGGAAATTGAAAAGTCAAAACTAGAAAAAGACATTGGTGTTTATATATCAAGTGGTTTAAAATGGGCCATACAAGTAAAATATGCAGCTAGTAAAGCAAATAGTATACTCTCACTACTAAATAATACATTCAGGTACAAGGATAAAGATCTAATAAAAACACTGTATTGTACATATGTTAGACCAAATTTAGAGTTTTCAATTCAAGCATGGAGTCCGTATTATACAAAAGATATTATTGAACAAGAAAAAGTCCAACGAAGAGCTACCAAAATGATACCGGAGCTAAGACATCTTGAGTACAAAAAAAGATTGGAAATTTTGGGTTTGACTACTTTGGAGACTAAAAGGCTAAGGTGCAATTTGATCCAGCAATTCAAAATATATAAAGGTATTGAAATCATTGATATTAAACAAAATCAAACAATGAACTCTATTTGCTCATCAGGTCCTGCAGCTAACATTAGAGGAGCAAAACATCGAATGAAACCTGAATTGGTCAGAAATTGTTTGAAAAGGCAATATTTTTTCAGCAATAGAGTTGTCGATGGATGGAATAGTCTACCAGCCGAAGTTGTTCAATCTACTACAGTTAAAAGCTTCAAATTAAACTTACAATAGGTCGACTTAGAAACAATAACAAACAAGATAAAAACCAAGAAAGCTTGTTATTAACGTTTTTATTATTAAGTGACTGAACTAACTTGTTCATTAATTAATTTATACCGGCTGTCATAGATATTGCCTTACGCTTTATCTCAACAGCATTAATTAATAATAATAATAATAATCAAAAAAACCCCAGTTGACGGTAACTAAACATAGTTTTATTTAGTCATGTAACTTAACATGGTAATTTTAATTAGACATTACCATGTTAAGTTACATTTTATGTAACTTAACATGGTAATTTTGTTACTTTTTTTTATTGATGATAATGAATGTTTTATTACAACAAAACAACCAACAGCAAAAAGTTACATAATATTGTTATATTTAATGACATGATATTATGTAATGAAAATGACATTATTATTATGTAATGAAAGTAAAAAGAAACAAATTTATAAAATGTTCAACAATATTTTGTGATAACTTTGTAATTTTTTTACAAAGCTATTACAAAACAAAAATAATTGTGTTTAGTTAAATATCAAAATATATTTACAAATTTTTTTTTTTTTTTTAAATATCTTTAGAAAAATTGAAAAACTAAAACATCAATAACTCCTTGATAAAACATAAAGCCAAATAAAAATTGGTTCGCAAAGTAGATATATGTTTAATATTTATAATAACGAAAACCTAAATTTTTTTTTCATTAGTCAGATTTTTTTTAGAACTATAGCTGTCAATGTCTTTTTTTGTTGTCATTAGCAAGTGCGTTTTGTGGATCTAAAAATAAACTACATTTTATTGTTTTGAGAGATATGAGTTTATAATTTTCAGATTCAGCAGGTTTTAAACTCCTTTGCTACCAAGTTTTAGCTTCGCAACATTACTACAAGTTTGTTAAAAGGGTAATAGTAAATTGACATTTTTCCGGCTTTTCCCCCCCCCCCCCCTCTTTTTTCAGTCAAAAAATAACTAACTTCAAGTTGCTGTAAATCTTAAAGGGTTGAGAATTTTTTGAAAAAATTTTACAGTCTTTCCTAACTTATATATCTTTAAACATTTGTGCCAAATTTCAGCGAATAAGGTGATGCAGGGGGCAACCCCTTCTTTTTGAGAAATTTTTACCCATAAACAAAGCTTTACCAGAAAAGCAAAATTAATAATTTTCTGTGCACTGCAATGTTTTGATTATTTGCAGTTTTGGTATTTTTATAAGACTTGGATCTGTACTATTTACTAACTAAAAAATAACGTATCGTTCTTTTAGAATGCAAACCTATTAACAATATTAGAGTTATTGTGGATTTATCAGGTTTACACTCTGAGGGAATGTATAACATATTAAGTTTAATTAGTAAAAGCTTTTAATTCTAAAATGTTAAGAAAACAAAAATAGATTTTACTATTTTAAGAGTTTATAAATATTTATAAATTCACAAAATTTAATTAAATATTTTGAAGGATTGTTTTTGGTTTAGCATTGTACATTTATTTTTACTTTAATAACTTATTAATTTTTTTATAACCCTTTTTATTAACTATATAAAAAACTTAAATACATTAAACTAAAATGTTTTTATTTTAAATTAACATTTTTATTTAGGGGAGCATTGGGCTTTTTTTATATAAATGCTAATAAATCTGTTATTTTTTATCATAATCAAAATTTTGTTTCAAATATATCTAGCGCACATATTTGGCATTAATTGTTGCTAAGAAGAGTTTTAGTAATATAATTAGTCGCAAAGTTACAAAAAATTTTCTAACACATGTCCAGAGTGCCCAAACCTCCCTGTGGTTGGGAGGTTTGGGCACCCCTATGGGGAGGTTTGGGCACTGTATTTAATATGCACAATATTGTTTTACTATACTACTATGCTTAAGTGTTATATGGCATTGGTATAAAAAATTGTAACACAAACATGTCACTTGGAATCAATACTCCACAATGTTGGACCTAATAAGACTTATCTTAAATTTGGTATGACCCAGAGAGGCTTGTCAAATTTATATTTAAAGCTGCGATATTTTATCCATGTTGTTGGTGTAGGCAGTTTTGTCTTTATATCCTCCAGGGGGACACTGGCTAAGTTCTCGATGTCAGTAAACATAAAATTATTTCTTATCTTTCTCGCTCTCATGAATTTGACAGTTGCCATGGAAGTTAAGCACTCTTTGACAATTCCAACATAATGATAAACATTTTTTTTTGGTGTCAAATTTAACCAACACAAAGTTATTAACCTGGAAATTTCTACCCAGATCAATCACATTGTCTGCATCAAAATCTTCTTCCGATAAATCAATTTCAACAAAGGTTTTGTCCAAAACGGACAAAACATTTTCTATTTCATCATCACTGCTAATCTTCCTGCTTTTCTCGTTTTTAGAGCATTTTTGATTTTTGTTGAGCTCTTTAATCTTACTTTTTCTTTGTCTTTTTTCTTCTTCAATTTCTATAAGTTTTTTCTCGGATGTCTGTCAATATTCTAATTTTTCCTTTCTTCTGTTTTATGCCATCCAATTTCCTGGGGCCGGCTTTCGAATATGGTCTTCATAAATCAGGTGTTACATTGACAGTGCCTCTAGTCTGGCTTTTAGATAGAGATTCCAGTTGAGATGGCCCAGTGAATTCCACATTAAAACTTGTACGATCCTCTAGACTCAGATTTTCTTCTGTTGAAGGCTGTTCCATGATAGGTTGGTCTGAAATCGATTTTTCTGTAGCAACATTATTCTTCGACATTACTCTTCCGGCAAGTAGCGATCAGTTATAGAAGAACAAACGAAATTTTCATCAGAGAAAATTTTTGAACTAAATGGCCAAATGCCAGGTTTTTCAAACCCTGTTTGAATATTTTGCAACTTGAATGCAAGTGAGATGGCCTTCGCTGC